TCCACCTCCTCTCCTCTATGCAATTGGCCTTTCTGCCCTCTGAGGCCCTTTGGTCCCCAGGGCATCTCTGCAGACCTGGGGAAAGGACAATCCCTCTGTGTGGGCACGTATTTGCATTCGTGGGGAGGTGTGTTTACATGTGTATGCATTTGTGTGTATGTGTGTGTGTGTGTGTGGGTGTGTGTGTGTGTGGGTGTGTGTGGTGTGTTCACTAGCATTGGAATGGTGTCTAAAGGGGCTGCCTCACTCCACACAGAGGGCCCTGACCCCAGACTGCAGGGGCTGGTGGCAGCAGTGTCGCTGTGTGCTTGTGGAGGGAGGTGGGAAGGAGGGAGGAAGGTAGGCTCGGCAGAGTGTCAGTGTGTCTCAGCCTGTGTGGGGGCGGCTGTGTGGGGGCGGAGGGCTGCGGCATGCACCAGAACATGTGCCTGCCTGCAGCTCTGATGGCTTGGAGGGAGAGCCAGGAAGGCTGTCCCCTCCCCTGTCCCTGCACCCCCCTCCTCAGGTCCTGCTTCCCAATTTCCCAACCTTCCGCCTCTGGTTCCTGCACATCATTGCCTAGTCCTGACCTTGCCACTGCCTCTCATGGGGACTTGGCCAAACCACTTCCCTCTGGGGGCTGTCCTCCACACGTGCATGTTTGGACAGTCCCCATGGTCCTTTGAATTCTGGTATGCTGAGGGCCTGCAGTTTCCCAGGTGGGCCTGCAGTTTCCCAGGTAGCCCTCCACAGAAGGAAGCTGCTAAGGGTAGCAACCTAATGGGGCATTTCAGGCATCTCCAGAAAAGGGATCCCCATTTTACAGATGGTAAAGTTGAGGCACACAAAGGATAAGTGCTTCACTCAAGCTGGCCCAGGAAATTCAAGGCAAAATCATGATTGGAAAACAAGTGACAGCTCAGAGGCCTCCCATCCCCAAAGCCACTGCCCCTTTTCCCTTGTTCATGGGCAAGAGGGAGGATATTCCCCAGAGACAGCACCAAGGAGTCCCTCTCAGGCACTTCCCCCCATGCTTTGGTATGGGAGACATGCTCACCATGCCCAGAGCCATCCTCTATCCTGCAGCCCCAGTTTGCTCATCTAGAAGATGGAGGAGTAAGCCTCCCCCTCCTCCCTCAGCAATGAGCTGATGGACTGGACTGAGAGCCACCTCGCTGGCCCAGAGTGCTATGGGTGGGAGAGGTGATTAGGATCTGAAAAAAGGCACACCCTGCTGTCTCTGGGTGGGGCACTAGCACCTCGGTGTTCTCTTCAATATGACACTGTCTATCCTCCTAACGGCTCTGCATAGCCTGTAGGTGACAGGGTCCAAGAAGGCTTAAGCACTAGGACCCTGAGCCCCAGTGAGGAGCTGCTTCTGGGCCACGCCACCACCCTAGGATCGGCCCAGCTACAGCTACGTCTGCTGTGGAACATAAATCTGTAGAGCACAGGGCTATAGCTCAGTGGCCAGCCGCTCTCTGTCAGTGTGGCTGGCCACCTGCACCCCTGCCAGCTTCCCCTACCCAGCACTGTCTGAGTCAATTTCAGATTCTTGTTTCTAGAGAGAAAAGAGTGGTTGAGCTCTCTCCTCCCTCCCTCTCCCTCTCTCAAGTCAAATCTCTTTCTGAGGCTCTTTCTGTGCAGCCCGGTGATTGACCAGGACTCTGCTTCTCTAACCTCTCCTGGCAGGGGTCAATCCACAGCCAGGGAAGGCAAAGAAAGGAGGGTGCTTCGTTCCCTTCCCTCTCCTCCACCTGACCCTTTCCTGAAGCTTCTGGTGCTTCCTTTGTCCCCCAGCCCAGAGTTCCTGCTTTTCTCAGCGATTCTGGACATCAGAGAAGGCCAAGTGTGATGGGAGCCCTGGCCACCTCTGCTCATTATGACCCCCCGGAGCTGGCGCTAGTCACCTCCAAGCAAGCTAGTGCTCCATGGGTCCAGGCTTCCGTTCCCCTCATCCCAGGGAGGAAGACTGAGGTCAAGTGAGCAACTCTCTGGGTCCCAAGAGACAACCCCACCTAACCCTTTAGGGGACCCAAGTCAAGTTCTTGGTTCTTCGGAGTTCATGTGCCCACCAGGTGGGAAGGGCAGCCCCCTCACTTGTAGCCAGCTGTACCCGGGGCTCCTGGAAGGATGGTGACAAAAATACTGGCCTCACTGAGCAGGACACCAGAAGTCCAGAGAGGCACTTGCCCTCCTCTGCAGCTAGGCAGCCCAGGGCCCTGCTGAAGGAAGGTCAAAGGTCCCCATGCCTCCTTTTAAGGTCAACCCAGTTTCCCCTGGGAATCACCATACTGGTCATCTAGAGTGGGCTCTGGAAGGGGGCTCAACTTCTACACAGTGACTACAATTTTGTGGCCGGGAGGTGTGGGAGCTCATCAGTGGAAAATGCCTGCAGACATCTTCAATTCCTCCCCACCCGCCCAAGGGAGCCGTGAATGATTCCCTCCCCCAAGCTGGACACACTCCAGGCAAAAGGGAAACATCTAGAAGGTCCACCTCCTGCCCAGGCCTGGAGGATAACACCATCCCGGTAGGATGCTCCTGGAAGTTCACTGTGCACCAGGCTCGAGGCTGCATCTTCACATGCACCATCTCATTTAATCCTTATGGCCCTTTTTATCTCCCAGTTGCAGGTGGGGGAAAAGTCACATCCTGCCCAATGTCACGGAGATGAGGACGGTGCAGTGCTGCCACCCCTGCCCTGCTGGACCCTCACACTGAATCTGTTATACAAAGCAGGAGCTGCCAGCCTCCTCTGTGATATGCCCTGGCCTTTGTAACTTGGACACCAGAGGCACAGCGCCCAGCCACCTCAGCCTTTTCTCTCCAATACAAGCATCCTCCACCCTAGCCCCGTGCACCGCCTCCGAGGTCCTGCAAGCTCCTAGCACTATACGTAACATTTTGTAGGTTTGTGCATTTTTCTAGAGAATGTCGATTTAGACTTTCATCAGATTCCTGGAGGAATATATGACCTAAAAAAAGGTTAAAAGCACTGATGGTTCTGGAAGGAAGAGGTCTGAAATTCATTAGATGAGGCCTGGCCATGCCTGCTACCCTCAGTTTTCCTGCCATGGCCACACATGGCTCCCTGTCCCCTGAAATTCTGTCCTTGTTATGGTCCCTCTGAGGATCCAGGCAGGCAGAAGAACTGGGAAGGCTCATGGAGGATCACATCTTGATGATGCCCATCTCCTCCCAGGGCAAAACAGCACTTTGTTTCACTTGGAACACTTGAGTCACATCTCTACTCCATTTCACTGTGCTCTGTGACGCAGTCCTGCTGGAACCTAGCCTTGGTCACTCCCTGAAAGGCAGCTCCTGGCTACTTAGGGAATTCTTGGTTTCCCAGTGGGCACTGGATACCAACTGGAGAGGGGTCCTAGCTCAAGATTAAGGGCAACCCAAGTCCTCCAGAACAGCCCTAACAAAAGACACACTGAAATAGGCAGGAAGTCTGCAGACAAGCATGAGCACACATCTGCACAAGGGTGTGTGTCTGCACCAGGGAGCTGGTGTGTGACTGTAGATTTCAGGATAGTCTGGGTATGCAAATGTGTGTGAAAGCATTCTGCTTATACACAGCGATAGGCCCACCTCCCACACATATGCAGACACCAGCATGAGCTCACACATGCCTATAACACCCACACGCCCACAAGAGCCTGTGAGTCCAGCCTCACATATGTACGCACACATACATGTACACACATAGACACTCTTCTGTGTATATGCCCCCAGTCTTCACACAGATGTGCACACTCAAACACCACTGTGTCGTCTCACATGTGCATCTTTACACACCTCCAGACCCCCTACACGTGTGTCTACTGGTGTGTGTACACAGCCCTGACCTCCATACATGTGCACACCTTCACTCCCATGCACTCTAACAGCAGCCCTGGCATATTCATACACATGCACCCTTGCAAGGCACACTTGCAGTTTTAGACTTTACACATAGATCACAGCTACAACCACCTCTTCCTGGTACACACACACAAATGTTTGCACACAAGTGTACCCCAGAATCAGTTCTTACAACACAACCAACTCTCCTTGAAAGTCCATATACAGCAACATATATCGACCCCTCCTCGAAATGCAGGCTGGTGTGTGCACATCCAGATCTTGTACCAGCACACAGGACCCCTCTCCCCTGACTCCTGCTGCTAGCAGGAACCAACCAGGGCACTGGCGTTCCTTTGCCCATGGAGCACACTCTGCCTCCAAACTGCACTCCAACCCTTGATCCATCCCAGGGTGCTAGGGGCACCCAGGAACCTTCCCCAATGGACACTTGCAGCCCACTGGGCTATCCCTTGGCTTCCTCTCTCCTCAACCTCCCATCCTTCTCTCATCAACACCAGAGGCATGACAGATGAGCAACTTTGCCAAAGGATCACAGCCTCTGTGTGCACAGCCCTGCAACAGCGATGTCCCCTAGCTTGCTGATTTGCCTCTCCCCTCCTCCCAACATCAGTTGCTCACATATTAACCCCTCCTGCACCAATGGCCTCGCTCTTACTGGGAAATGGGAAGGAGGAGGTGGGGAAGGGATGTACTTACAAGGAGAAGTTGACACTCTGCACAGTAAAGTCAGGAAGCCCTACCCAGGAGGTGGTGAACACTATGTCACTGGAGGTATACAAATGAAAATACAGAAAGGACTGTAGCTTGCACCCAGCTGAGTGGGAAAATCCCTTTTCACCCTCAATTTCTAAGAATCTGTGTGTGCCCAGGTTGTGAACACTCGTGTGCATGGGTGTGTGCACTCAGGCATACGCTGTGAACTCGTCACCCTTACACACACACACACCCAGCTGACATGGCACATCTGCACCCACAAATGTGTCTATGCTTGACTCTGGACACCTTGTGCACATGCAAGTGTCCCCAAACCGTGCAGCCTGCCTTCCTCTGTGTGCACAGGAGATCCCCCACCACACAGGCACAAACACCCCAGCCCAAGAGGCTGACCCTTTGCACCCTCCTGTACTTGCTGAGGCGCAACTCACTTTCCCAGTTCCTCGAAAAGCTGGTACTCTTCTGTGAAGCGGGTGCAGGTGATGGTGGCCATCCTGGCACTGGGCGGGCAGGCGAGGCTCGAGGCTGGAGGACTAGGACTGGGATGCTGCTGCTCTGCTCCCGGAACTAGGGGCCACTCGCCTGCCCGCTGCCGAGGAGGAGGATGAACAGAGAACTGGCTTGACTGACGAGCCTGGGGCTTCTGAGCAGGGCACTGTGGCTGCTCACAGCCTCGCGAGCCTTCGTCAGCATCCAGGTCCCCATGGCAACCACCTCCGAAACGCCCTGTTCCCGTTGCCCCGGTAACTGCCTCCCCAACACCTGCCTTCCACTGCGAAACCTGCTCCCAGTCGCCCTGGCCCTATCGCACACAGTACTGCAGAGCTGTGTGGGCCCGGGGGCGGGTGGACCCGGCACCCCCCGGAGTGAGGGACTGAGGGGGGTGAAGAAGAAGGAAGAGAACAAACTTAGTCCACAAGTGATCCTCTCTCTTCCCACCTTCCCCCTTCAACTATGAGGCCCTTTTAGTAAACGGGATGAGATTAAATGGGGCAAAGAGGCAGTTGCTATAGTAACGGCCAGTGGGTGCCACATTCTAGGATGGTCCTCAGGAAAGACAGGATGTAGTTACCCTGGCAACTTCATCTCCTCTGGAGAGACAGGTATTGCCCCGTTGCCCTGGCAACAGCTGGGTTCTAAGGTTTACAGGGAAACAGCCAATTCATTGGGATCTCTTTCTCTCTTCTCCGTAGTCTCTGGAACTCTCTCTCTCAGCTTCCCTCTGTGGTTATGGTTTGGTTTGCTTTGGCCTTTACCTGGGTGCTTATTTTGCTCTTACTCTCTTTGCTCTTCTGCCACCTTGGCCATTTGTGTCACTCTAGCTTAGTGGGGAAAGAGCAGAGGAGACCCCAGGATCTGGAGAGGAATAGTTCTGACTGCCTGTCACCGCCACCCACCTCACAGCTGTGACAGCTGGGCTCCTCCTGAGGCATCTTCCACAACCTCTCCCCCACCCGTGCCCCCAAAGGGACCAAGAGACCTGGTCTCCTGGAGCTCCTGTCCCAGTTTCTGCTTGTACTTCAAACCAAGGTAAAGAGGCAAGAGGCAGCACAGTGAGGCAAGCACAGCCTGGCTGACCCAAGACTAGGCCAGGGCACAGACCTGCCTACCCTGATGTCTTCATTCCCAAATTCTTTAGGCACCTTCCCTGTCAACGTCAGTTCTTCACACCATCAGCCATATCCAAGGCCTAGGGATTAAGAAGGAAAGGGACTAGAGTTTAAGACTAAGGATTCGAGTTCAAATTCCAGCTGTAGCATTTGTTAGCTGTGTGACCCTTAGCAAGTCACTGACCCTCTCTGAGCCTCCAGCTCCCTTGTATAAATAGAGGAATAAAGCTGCCCCATGCAGAAGAAATTGCAAAGCTGGACTGGCCCGAGGGCCATGGGCGCCTTTTGAAAGTAGGCAAACATGAGGTCTTTTTTCAGTTTCTAGAAGAGGAGAGGGAAGGCTTAAAGTGGGGTCATGAGTACCCCAACACTATGGCTTGGACTTGCACAGCCACCCCTCTATCAGAAAGAAAGGCTCCTCAGCTCATTTCAGAGACTGTGATCCAGCCTTTGCCCTCAGTGAGTGTAGGGCAGATGAAAGGAAGCACAGATCCAAATGCTCTGGACATCCACCCCAGATGGCCCTGCGTGTACCTTTGGCTTTGGGTATTCTCCAGCACCAACAAGAGCCTGGCTCACCTGCATCCAGGGGACCCTGGACACATTCCAGGGAATCGCTGCCCTTTTGCAGAGGTCAGGGATGAGGAGAATGAAGGGTGAGTGCCCCACCAGCCACTTCTCTCAGAAGAGCAGAGGAGGGCGGAGGGGAAGGAAGGAGGCAGTAAGGGAGGAGGGTAATGGCTTAGCCACTAATTGCACCATTACCACCTTCGGAAAAAGGAAAAACCACTTGGTTTTGTTTCTGCGCACAACATGCTTCCCCAATTCTGCCGCCAACGTGGTAATTCAGTGGCAGAGAGGAAAGGCCTGCCCTCGGGGGCCGCACAGCCAGTGGGCAGCAGGCAGGGCACAGAACACCGTGGCCAAGCTAGAGGCAGGAGGGTGGTGGGGGAAGGGCTGCCCTGCTACCCACTCTTCCCCAGACCCTCTAACCTGTCTCCAGGCTGTCCTCCTGGCCTCCACACATGAAAGCAATGGAACAGCTTCGGTGACCATAAGGTCACCTGCATTACCCAAGGGAAACAGTGTAGATTACTCCTTAGAGTGACTACATGACTTATAAGCTGTGTGATTTTGGATGAATGGCCTAACTTCTCTGGACTTCAGTTTCTTCATGTGCAGAATTGGGTAAATAACATTCTGTACCTCCAGAGCTATTTCTTGGGTGAAATGAAATGAACATGGTAGCTGACACACTTTACATGCCCAATACAGGGGGAGTTATTATTATTGAGGAATTCAAAATCCTTTCCCTTACATGCCTTCCAAATCGTGGAAGCACACACTACCATCTCTGAGGCCCAGGACTTTCTGGTGCTGTTCTCTTGAGTCTCTACAGGAGGTTAGTTCATGGTTTGGACATCACCTTACCCAGGCCTCATTTGTAGAAATTCCTGTCGAACAAAAGGCTGGGGCTAGAAGAAGAGGTGGTCACTAGGACCTCCAGCTTCAAAATCAGTAAAACGGGCAAGGTGTGTGGCTTAGCAGTAGAATGCTTGCCTATCATGCATAAGGCTTCAGGTTCAGTCCCCAGCACTGGAAAAAAATAATTGATATAACAAAAAGCAAATGTGCTACGGGCTGTATTAATGGAAACCTAACATTCTGAACAAAGGTGGTGATAGATCTTCTTGGCTTGGCACAGGTCTGACCACTGTTTCCTCTCCCCCTCCCCGCCCCGCCCACCACCACCACTGACAAAATGGAGCAGCTCAGAGACTAGGGGAGAGACTGGCATGGTCACTGGAAGAGCACACAGTGATTCAGGGGACAATGAGAAGGCACAGAGGTATATAGATAGCCAGGTAAGGGAGCATGGGGAGGTCACCAAGGTGCCTGCAGGAGACAGGGACAAGTCACCTGTCTGTCTGCTCGTCCTGTTTCTTTCCTTTTCCTTCCTCTCCTTCTTTGCCTCCTTCCTTTTCAGTTTTCCTTGTCTTTCCCATTCCTTCTCACATCTGCTCTCATTTCTATCTCCCCTCCTTTCTGTCTGTTGATTTCTGACACTTTTCTTTCCCATTCTGGGGGATGGGCAGGTCCCAGGCTGCAGACCCACCTGATTGTGGAGAGATCACTGGACGGAGAGGAAGGCAGAAGAGGTAGAGATCTCCTGGGCAGGAATTGCACACATGTGTGCACACACTCCTGAATCTTCTAGAGCCTAGTTCAGAGGTGTGGGCACTGCCTCTGATGGGCACGTTCTTACTGAGTGCAATTGCCACTCTGATGAGGAGGCACCACAGCTAATTCACTGTTCTGCTGTGCCTGCAAGGCTGGCAGCTGTGCCCGGTGGTGGCGGACAGCGAGGAGCCAGCCATGCCTGTGTGGCACTGAATGAGCTGATGATTGCAACAGGGGGATTGTTCCTGCCAGACTCCCCACTCCCCAGGGCCACGGAAGGCACGTGCGCCCCTGTGTGCACCATGTGTGTGGTACTCAAGAGCAGGCCTCTGTGCTGTGGGCTGGTGGCCAGAGGTGGGGGCCCGGAGGTTGCTGAGCTGGCATGACATGCCAGAACAGGGGACAGCATGCAAACGCAGGCAGTGCCCTTGTTGAGGGGAGGGGCAAAAGGATAGTGACTGAGTTCTTGAGTGATGGATCAGAGCCCTAGTGACACTGTGACAGCTGACTCAAATCCTACCTTCCACATCCACCCACGTGCTCACGTGCATATGCCCGAGTGTCACAGGGTCCTGCAGGGCCTGAGCAGGAACCACAGAAAACGTGCCATCTGAAGAGTTCCCATGGGGCCTGTCCCACTAAGGGCAGCAAGTGTTGGGGGCAGAATCAGTGGAAAGTGGGCCAGGAAAGAAACAATCCTGCCAAGGGTTGGGGCAGAGAGATTGGGTGAATGCAGTGTAGTGAGTGACACCAGGCTGAAAGCAGAGGCTGTCCAAGGGCAGCACTGTCCCTGATGTGCTCCCCGTAGGGGCTCTCCTTGCAAGGGAGAGCAAAGCGAGCCATGGGACAGAGGGCAGAGGCTGCTGAGCCAAGGGCTGTACAACAGTGCCCTGAAGTTAGGGGACCCAACTTCCAATGCCATGAGAGCTGGCAGTGGGTCTTCTCCCCAGTGGGACCTTCACTTCCTCCTGGGAAGTTTGGAGACAAAATACTCATTCTCTGACTCCAAGGATATGAAGATTGTTAATTCCCATATCAGGAGCCAGGCCCTGCACTCTTTAGACTTCAAGGCAAGCACATGCAACCGTGCCCAATTTGCAGAGATGTGGTATTACTTACTGTGTGGCCCAAGCCCACACAGCTGGGGCTCAGGTCTGTGTGACTTTAACACCCCTGGCGGGGTTATTAGGCCCTTCCAGTCCTCCAGTGAGCACAAGGCCCTTACAGATGTCTACCAAGGCCCAGAGAGGGAACACGCCCCTCTGACAGTTTCACATACAAGGGGCAGTCAGGATGACAACCTGAGTTCCTTTCCTTGCCAGGCTCTGCTCCATTTCCTGGCATTGCCAGGGTGCTTGCCTAGGACCCAACAGAGCCAGAGGGACCTGGTGAAAAGAGGTCAGGCAGGTGTGGGGCTCTCTCCTGGCTCCTAGAGGACTGGACTCTGAAGCCAGAGCCCAGCTTGGATAGGCTGCTACCTGGCTGTGACCCTTCTAGCTAACAGGTGTGCAGCTTCCCAGTCTAGCCAAGGGAGAAACAGGAGCCACAGCAAACATCGCTGGGCTCCACCTTCCCAGACCTATGACCAAGCACCCAAGGCTGCCTCTGGCTGCCCTCTCTTTGTCTTCCCCCTCAGGGGCTCAGGTGGCATAAGTATATGTTCAGTGGTACCAGCCAGGGACCTGCCACAAAGTGAAGGAGGAATGGGGAGATGGTGGACACCCTGATGGCTAGGCTGAGCCTCTCGAGGCAATGCTTACAGAGACCCTCCACCAGTCTGAGGGCTGGGCCAGGCACAAGCTCCCCAGAAGCAGGCTTCAGATTGAAGCTTG